TGACAATATAAGGACATTATAATTTATATTATGTCCTTATATTGTCACTTTTTAGGTTACTATCATTTTCCTATTTCATTAAATAGTTAAAAAAAAACTAGATAACTAGGTAGGTAAGTAGGTAGATAAGTAGACTGCTGAGCAGTCTACCTTCTAGTAGCATTATATGAGCATTCTGATTACATAGGTCTTTTTATGTTAACATTTTATGTATAGGCCACATTGTCATGTACTTTTTAATTTAATAATATAATGTACCAAATATGATATTTCTTTGTTAAGTATTAAGTTTAAACAAGTCTTTAGGTCTATCTCTGTTTATATTCTTTTTTGAACTGTTTACAAAGAACTACAAACTAATTTTTTAATTGGGCATTGACTATTTAATTGGGTAGTGATTATACTGACTTGAAATAATTCTTTATATATGGCTTTAACTCTATTTTTATATATTACATATAGAGAGAATAGTTTTTATGATTTGACATATGCTAAATTTGTTTTATTTTTAATGTAATTACATGTATGAATTATCCCTTTTTTTAACCTTTGCTACTATATCTTCATTTACCTTTCCACAAAATCCATCAGCTATTCATGGACATTCTCTTCTAGTATACTATTACTATACTTTTACATTCATTATTTGTAATGGTATTTTATCAATACAATATTCTTCTGAGCTTTCTCTTCCAAGTATTTGTCCATTCTATCAACATCATAATATTTTTTAATTAATATCTTCTTTATATAAACATTTCTTGGCTCTTATTTTTTCTACAAAAATGAAACTTAGAATCACTGACCTGTGAAAAATTACCACTAAATTTTTTATTAAAATTATATTAAACTTAAAAAATTAATATAAAAAGATTGAAAATAATTAATGAATTGTCATATCTAGAAACACGAGTCTCCGCATCCTCGAAGTAAAGTTTAATAGTTTCCTTCGTATGACATTCACATTTCTTATAAAGTTTAATCCTCGGCATACTTTTTGTTGCTACTAGAAATGGATTCCTTTTTCCTCATATTTTAACTGGTTATTTATTCTTATATAGATCATATTACATTATTTATAATGGAACCTATACTCTGTTAGTTCAGCTGATTGTCTTGTGGATTTTTTTGTTATCTACAAATAGTTTTATCCTTCTTTCCAATAGCTCTCTTTCTCAGTTCTTTTTAAAACACTAGCTGAGTACTTCAGAGCTATTTTAGATAGCAGTGAATATAGCTGGTTATGTTGCTAATTCTAATAGAAAATAAAATTCTAGTGTTTATTAGTATTTTGGCTCTTGACAGCATGATCTGAATTTTGTTTAAAAAATTACAGATATTTCCCATAAAATATTAACAGTAGATATTTCTAATAATGAGTGGTTTTATTTTCCTTCACATTTTGCCAATAAATGAATTATTTAGGTTTCTAAATCTACCTTTATACTCTTTACAATTCAAGTTTTGATTTTTTTTAAATCATCCATTTGATTATATTTTCATATGTGGAAAAGAATCTAAAAAGTATTATCACTTTTTAATCTACAGATAACTAGTTACATCCTATAACTCCTAATTTTGCAATTTTTTTTTTATTATTAATTATAAAGTCTTCCAATTTCTTTTCTAAGCTTCCTAAAATGAATGGACACACAACCTACCTCCTTACTTCTATTAAAGTTCCTTGCTTATGGAGAACAATTTAAACTGCAAATAATCTTGGTTAGCAATCATTATCTTGCAGAATCCAAGAGTGAAACAAGCCTAAACAAGCTTTCTCTTCAGAAAAAACATTCTACTGTCCTTTGTGAAAGATAGCGGATAAAAATAATGTCTGGATACATATTTCTCAAAGTAAATGTATTCTAATAAAAATAATATCTCATGTTGTTTATTAAAATACAGTTGTGCTTAAGACTACAGTACAAGATGCCATAAAATAAAAATATTAACAATTTGATATTAGGAACGTCGTAACATTCCCAGATCAGAATTCCATGAAAACTAGATTCCACTACTCTTAATAAGACTTGTATTTAACAATTTCTTCATATCCTCATCAAATCCTATTTCTTTCACTTTCATTAAGTAACCATTATATTGAACCCATCTTGCCATTTGAAATAATGAATTTGAGATACATTACCAAGAAATGTCAATTTCAAGTATAAATAGCTAAACTTTTTCACTTTTATTCTACACCAGGAAAGTTTCAACATGCTAAAAAATGCAAACTGCTACCCATCTTCTAAAAACAGAAATGAAATAATTAGGTCACAATAGATGGCTCCTTTCTTGGAGGATAAGAAAAAGAGACGATGAATGCAACCAGAATGTTTATTGTCCCTGCAATTCTTCGGGCCTGGATTCCAAGTGTGATTCTTGATGTAGGTTACTATGACAACTTAAGTTACAGAAAATGTCCCCTCTTCTACCAAGTTTTCTCCACAAGATCATTCCAAGCCTCCTAAAATCTGTGTGCATGAATTACCTGTAATAACAATAAACATTTTTTTTACCAGTTTTATTCAGAAATGCCCCCATTTAAATCCTGAAAACCAAGTATAAGCATATAAAAAATAAAATCCATTAAGTCTACACACACACACACACACACTCTTAAAATATAAAATGTTGAGAGTATTCTGAAACTACTCCCCATTATCAGAGGCACAGTATATTACCACCATATGCTTCATTATAGAAACTATGGGAAATTACTTGCAAGGCAGTTTTGAATCAATGAGTATAGAGCTAAATCCTGTTTATCACTAATGCTTTTTACAGGAAGGTACCAGAACCAGGATGGGAGAAGACTGCAGTCCTATTTCAAGCAGAAAGAGATACAAATAAATAATCTGTAAAATCTTATTTTGTTTTACCAAATAGGATTTTAGAGAAAATATGAGATTTAAAGTTTGATCTCAAACAGTTCCAAATTTATAAATCTAACAAAGATGTCTTGTGATAAAGTGAATTATTCTGTCATCATTCTCTAAAAAAAATAATGGCTAGAGAGAAATTGTATCATTATGGGAGAAAATGTGATTTAGTAGAGATATTAGGATTGCAAGACATTAAAAATTTAAAGTAGCTCCACACACACACACACACACACACACACACACACACACACACACACACACAAAATATATAAGGTAGTTTTACAGTGTAGCAATACTGAGAATTTAAAGCTGGTTTTGTTGCTCATTAAAGTTAAAAATTAGATGCTTCCTTCAGAAAGGCTTAGAGAGCTCACATACTTAGTAGCTAGCACAGGCAAAAACGTTTTATAAATTTCATGTATAACTACACCCTAGCCCAGGAGCCCTTCGTTTATATAACACAAACAAAACTTCATTTTAAAAGGAAAACAAAAAGCAGTACGCTAAAGGAGCCTCTTTGCACTTGAAGTCAAGAATCAAGGGCATTTAATTTTTAGCATACTGAGCTTCTGAGAAGAAACAACAGAAATGAAAACTCTTCAGCAGCAAACTCTAAGCAAATCAGACATCTCCTACCTGTATTAGTGAATAACTACTAGTTTTTCAGAGAAACAAAATAAAGTTTTCAAACCCAAATGTACACAGTCCCTCAACATTAAACTTGAACCACAATTCTTTCTTGGTATAACTTGCACATAAATCCTCCTACACAGAAAATAATTCATGTATAAAAGAGAGATTTTCAGAAGAGCTTCATCAATAATGGAAGCCAAACTAAAATTTAAGTAATTATCTAATCATGGAGAGAACTTTAGTCGGTTGAGCTACATAATAGATTTTTTTCTTGTCTTTTTCTGACTATTACAAATAGAAGGTCATTACAAATAGCAGGGCTCAACTAGGATTTCTCAGCTCTCACATGGATACAACAAAACTGCCTTATTACAATCAGACTATCATTTACTCTCAACACTTGTGGCCTTCTAGCTCTGATTTTTGCTAATCCAAAAGCAATGTAGCAGAATCCATAGGGGAACTGAACCACTGAGAATATGAACTTGTTGCTTTTTGGAATCTGTTCCTTCTACACAGTCTAGTAATTACTAGAAGGCTCTAAAGTTATACTTTTTTATTTCAGGGGGAAATTAAATTATGTCAGACCTTCAAAATCCATCATTTAGGCAAAAATGCAAGCACATAACTTTTGCAAATGAGAGACTAAGGAATTTATGAGACAGCACGCTGGTTGGTGCCCTTAAAGAGTTTATTCACCTGTAAAATGTGAACAGTTTATTCATAAGTGATTCACTTACTACAAACAAGGTCAAATTACTTTTTCTCCTGGGACCAGTAAGTCACTTTAATGTTCAAGAGACATGAGACGATACACATCAAGCATACAAAAAAGTGGAAAATCATTTAGTTGTATATTTTAACCTCAAGGGATTTTGTGCGCGCCCCCCCCGCTTTACCCTTTACTTAAAGGAGCCAATTACTGACACTACTAAAGAGATGGAAGCTCAAACTATAGGCTATATGCCAGACTTATCAAAACCTTCTAACTTTTCACTGTTAGAAATACATAGGTCTCTGGTTTAAAAGAGGCTGCCCATTTAAAGCATTAATAGCAGAGGGGAGAGGGGAGGGAGGAGGCGGGGAGGTGGACGGGGGGCGATTTAAATAATTTCTTCAACTAAAAAAATTAATTAAAAATAAATAAATAAGAAATAAAATAAAATAAAATAAAATAAAGCATTAGTAGAATAGTGCTCAAGAAGCCAAAGAGTAGTGATACACCAATTTGCAAAATTTTGCTTTGGACTTCAAATGTGGAACCCAAAGCATGTTTTATGATGCTAGTATTAGTTACCATCACTAACCACGCTTAAACTTATCTAAATAAAGGGTTTACAAATGATGACTTCTTAAGAGTTCACCAGTGAACACAATCTCGAAAAGTCTCCCAAACTTTAAAAAGTTTTTTTTTTTTTTTTTTAAGTTACTGTAAGTGATATTCTTCTAGGATGTGTGTAGAGTACAAATTTACAGACTCACCTTGCTGTGCTGGAGTTCCCAAACAGGAGTGTGAGGTAGTCCTGAGGAAGGGTGGAGCACCAGATAGGTATTCTAGGAGGAGATACACAGGCACCTGAAAAGGTACACAGTGTTCTTACAGGCCTGGCTAATTTTTATCTTAACAATGCTAAATCGTTAAATGCTAAATGCTAAATGCTAAAACTCATAATCATTAAAGAGCAAAATACACAAGCTTTCAGCTTCAAATAGTTTTCCCAAGAATTTTTCCTCCCTTTTCCAACCCTCCCCTTCAGTCATTTGAATTGTAGGACTTGTCGGGTGGGTTTGTTTGGTTTGGTTTCAATTCATATTTTTGTGCCTTTGAAAAAGGAATTTCAGTTGTTTCTTAAAATGGTCATTTGATGGGCCCAGGGTGTTCTAGGAAAAAGTAAGCCTTCTTTTTCTCTTGACCAAAGCTCCCTGCAATGCCACAATAATTTCTTGAAAGCAGTTTAGCAGTTAGACATTTGGAAAATTGCCTAAAGCTAGGGCCTAAAAATGAAGTTGAAGGAGAGAGCTCAGGTTTTCAGTCCTAAAAAATAAAAACAAAAACACACCACACTTTTCCTTGGTGAGTACCAAGCTCGACCACTGGCTGACCTAAGAAAGAGGGTAACTTGGCACCAGTTCTTTTGACCATTCTATTGCCTAATCCTGTGAGAATGTGAAACCCTGCCATGACATTAGTTATAAAGAAAGCCTAAGAAAGAAATCTTGGCTACAAGACGAGAATTGACGCAATTCTTATGTCTGCTACATTCAGACTATGCCCTTAACAGATGCTTCTGCATTTATTTATAGAAACATTTAGTTTAGTAACAAGACCATCTTCTGTCAACTTTTTTTTAATATAGCAAGATACTGAACTACTTTTATTATGAAGAGAAAATGCCCCCCCAACAAGTTATAATCAAATTCTTAGTTATGAAATAATATGAAGCATCAAATTAGAAATAGTGTAAGGAGAAAGAGCTTGTGGACTCGAAATCTGATGCAAACTAGCAGAAAAATATACAAATTTAAAACACAACCAAGGCAGGGGGAAGCCAGTCCAAAGCTGCCCTTGCGCAGCGGGGTCCTCCGTGCCCAGCCGCTATGCTCCTGAATGGGGACACTGTCTCCAAGTCCGGTTACTAGACTAACACTTCATATAACTTAACAGTTGTTATAAAAATGCCATTCGTTTCCGGATTAGTTTTTACCTAGTGTTAGAGCTGGAGTGCAAAGGTACATTAGTGCATGCTTCCAAGTTTTTTTTTTTTTTTCAAAAAAGAGAGTAATGGTCACATTTTTTTTCTAATGGGAACAAATAGGCTTTAAGCCAACTAGATATCAAAGAATTCCTGTTTCATCCTCTTACATCGTATGGGTTAGAGCCTTGTAGCTTCAACTACTTATTTCCTAAAGAAGCTAGAGGGAAGATACACATTTGAGGCTGATTTGCCTTGGTAAAAGGGTCTGTCCATGGAGCATGATGTCATCCAGAAAGCAATGAAGGTCCAACCCTGCTGGGAGAGAGGACTGGGTGGTGAATTCAGAATTATGAGGGAAGAGGCTAAATATACCAACAACCCTAATTCCCACCCTTGGGCCTAGAAGCTGTCTGGAATCCAGCCTGGTTGGCAAAGCAATTCTTATTTATTTAAATAAAAATCTCTTTTCCTACCCATCTTTTCTTCTTTAAAGCCTCATCTCTCTTTTCAGTTTTGTTTCCAAGAAAATCTTTTAGATGTAGGAAAGTTGAGAAGGTGTTTCTAAAACTGACATAACCATTATCTTCTTTTGTCCATAAAATAATTATAAGAGCCAGACACTTTAAAGGCCAAGATTATGATCTTATTCTCTCGTATATAATTCTAAATGATATTAACTTATATATATTGACACTAAAACCTCTCCTTTTTAGATTTTTATAATTGTAAAATTCTGGATGAGTCAAATCTCTTTGGGATGGGATGGAAAGTGTCCCAGTCCTGCTGGTATCCTGGGATATGCTTGGAATACCTGTGGGAAATGCCAAACCTGACAAGAAGTGAGGAACTCAGGCTACTGTATACCTGTCCTCACTTCTCTAGTCCTTGTGAGGCCTCAATCGTCTCTCATGCCCGGAGCCAACTTTTTGTGTTGTCCGAACTCCAACTCACCTTCCAAGAGATAACTCAAATGTCTCACATCTACTGGAAACCCTCCCTCATCCAAATTAATCATTACTTATCACATACGTAATTGAAATGGGCCAATAACCAACATGTACAATTTGGGGTAAAAGGAAAGGATAAAAATTGGAAGCCTCTCTACTCCAATAATTATATTATTTCTGATACAATTAATAGGTTATTTGAACATTCACCAACACTTCTAAATATGCTAAAGATTAGGTACTCTCCTATTATGGTAGCCATCCTCCAAGGTAGCTGCCAAAGATTTTGGCCTCCTGGTCTTCACACCCTTGTGTATTTTCTTCCCACAATAAGCAGAGTTAACTTGTATAGCCAGTAGGATATCATGGAAATGAAACACACAGAAGCAGCCCAAAGATGTCTAATCCCTGCACAATTTAGATAGAAACCGGGTTAAGAGGAGCAGCCAGCAGAGATGCTCACAGAAGAGGCAAGCTGCCCTTGCTGACTTGGAAACTGGCAGCAGGCTACATATCATAGGCCCAAAAGGGCACGTGAAACCCACAAGCCTTAATGGTCCAGCCGATCCAAGAAATGTGAGGTCATTCATATTGTATAAAATCAAGGCTCTGAAAAGAAAACTGGTTTTGTCTTCTACACATTCTGGAGGTAAGCAGAGACAACAGCAAACACCCTCACCCCATCTATGCTGTGAAGCGAATTTGGAAGTCATAACCTCCTGGATCCTCAGTTTCTCATCTGCAGAGCAAGCTTTTGGGAATAAGTGCACCTGACGTGCCTTTTAATAACTAACATTGGAAACATCTTTATGACCCTGGGAGATGCAGGATTCTGGAGGAGGATGACGTGAAGAACAAAAATCATCATGGCCACCCCACCTTCTGGGTGGGGGACAACTCAACCTGGAATGTGGGGGAAACGAGACCGGATATACCTATCTTACTCCTTTAAGACTAAGGGCAGGCTCTGTTACAGGGTCACAGAGACCAGGAGAATCACTTGCTACAAGCCAGAGTTAGGAAAATGTTTGCATAAACACTTCACCTAATAGCACTTTCTATGTGCCAAGCCACTGTTCTAACTACTTCATGCATATTAATTCATTTATTTCTCATAACAATTCCATGAAATAAGGATTTTCCTCATTTTGTATCAAGGCAAGAGGCAGGGTGGTTAAACATATGACCCAGGTCATCTAGATGGTATATGGGAAAGTCTGTATATGAACCCTGCCCTGTCTATTGCGGTCTGGGCTCCTAACCGCCGTGCCGAAGTGCCTCTAGCTAGGACTCGCAGCTTGTTCTCCTGGCAGGAAGGCCTTCTCTTCCTGAAATATTAATTTCAGCCACCCTGGCCCAAATTCCACATCGTAAGATGAGGATAAAACCAATTCCTTCTCAACGGAAAAGGATACTTTTATGTGAAAATGCCTAACAAACATATGAAAAGATGCTCTATATCATATATCATCAGGGAAATGGCAAATTAAAACAAGACACCACACACCTATTAGAACGGCCAAAATCCAAGACACTGAAAACACCAAATACTGGTGAGAGTGGAGCAATAGGAACGCTCATTCACTGCTGGTGGGAATGCAAAATGAAAGACAGTTTGGTAGTTTCTTACGAAACTAAACATACTCTTTCCATAGGACCCAGCAATCATGCTCTTTGGTATTAAACCGAAGTATATATAGTATACAGATCCTTGAAATGGAGATTGCTATGCCTTTCTCACATGCCACAGATCAAATTTGATACAGACTTAAGAGTAGCTTAAAGTTAGCAAGGAGAATGCCTTTGAAAACTATAATATAGAAATAATCAATCATGCTTTAGATGGTGCTGACGAGTAAAACCCTGACAGCAACAGCAAAGATCCTGCAGGGAAAGCAGAGTCACTCTAAGGTGAAGACTGGTTTAGCCTTTGTTTCAGTGATTAATTTTACAAGCAGCAGCAAGGTCATTCAGCATATCTGCCTCATGCCACTCTATGAGAAAGGAACCAGCAACTAAAAAAAATTAACATTATATAGAGTGACATTAACATTATATACTTTATCATCGAAGATGAAAGATGCTATTGTTATGCTAGGCACAACAGGAGTGAACAGGACTGATCCAGTAAACCAGGACATATGTCACCCTGACAATACACCTCTTTCCTCTTTTAATAAAGTAACTGTCTCAGTTATCTCCTTACGTTGCCCCTAAAACGTACCTATCCATTGCCTATTTCCTACAGAACAAAATCTATTTATAGGATAATATGCTAATATTGTCCTTCAACACTTCCCCCAAATATTATGTTTAATACACTGTTAAAGAAGGCTATTTGATATCTTTCATGTTTAAAATGAAAGTTTTAATAGATTTTAAATTATACAAAAATTCACCGAGTTGAAATATCTCATTTCATGTTTTAAACAATTAGCTTGAATTTAAATTATTCTTGCAATGAGACTATCAAAACAGTCTGACATCTACATCTCCTGTGATGCAAAAATTAAAATTAGGGCATTTATAACTACTGTTCTTGCCTGGGCTCAGCCAGCTCAGTAGCCAAGAAATCCTCTCACGAACTTAAAAACTCAGTACTAAGCCCATCCTACTTCCACTGGCTAACAGGAAGACATCGATAGAATTTAAATTACAAACCCACTTATTTTGAGTGTTTTGTATGGCCAACATAGTGCTTTTGATGTTTTTTTTTTTTTTTTTAAAAAATGGAAATCATTCCAAAAATCTAGATATATGGATGGCTTCTCTGAAAAAAAAAAAACACCTTAAGATTTTCCAAATGCTGGTCCACCCACATTTCCTAAGGGCAGCAATCAGCTGGAGTTGAGTGGCAACAGGGCCCCCTTTAGGTAATTCAGTACTCCAATTTGCCACAGTCTTAACCACCATCCTTTACACCCACTCCCCCC